TTTTGAATTTACAATAAAAACAACCTATATATTTATTTGTGTCAGTTTCTTGAGCGACATGAACTCGTGAACCTTTTTGAGAATACTTATTTTCAGTATTGAAATTATCTGTTAGTGATTCTAACGATGAGCACTTTCTTTCTAAAAAATCCATAAATTCGTCCAATGTAGGCAAATCGTCTGTTTCTCGCTCTAGTTCAAAGTCTTGCCTTGTTGCAGCATCTAAATGTTTAGAGAAAATATAAATTAAAAGCAAATCCCAATTCTCGATATCAACTTGTAGTGCTTCTAACGACTTTAGATTTTTGTTAACCTGAGTTATAAATTGCCTCAAGGCTGTGCAATTATTTTTGGAAATATGTGGGACGTCCAATAGACCCTGCAACAATGAATTAATAATCAAAAGTTTTTTGTCATATCGCTTGTTCAACATTTCATTTGCAACTGCATAATTTTCGTTGGTCATTAACAAATTATTCACAAGGTCCAATGGTTCACCTTTCAAAGCAGATTTCAAATACATTAGTTTTTGCACAGGGGAGAGATTCTGATTTGAATCTATTAGTGCAGAGAAAATATCTTTAAAAGCGGGCCAATCCTTGAAATTACCTGTAAAAGTAGGTACATTTAAACTAGGAAGCTTAACTTGAATTGAATGAGGGTTAATTGGTGGGCCATTAGGCAAGGCTAGAGGCGGTGTGGCTAGAAGTTGTGGGATGGGCGAGTTAATTGATACCTGAGAAAACCTTTGAATTAAAGATTTTAACTTTGCTGCAAGATTGAAATATCTACCTTCAAATTCATCTCTGTCAGCAGATTGAGTTTCGTCAACATCTTCAATATCATCTTGTACTTCTAGATATGACGCATAAGCTTTGTGTAATTGCACTTCCCTTACAACAAAATCATTAACATCAATATTTGCAACATCAACATTTTGTCGAACAAAGTTTTCAATTCTTGTTATCACAGCCTTTTGCCTGCCTCTTTTGCGTTTGAGGCTTTCTACATCAATTCCTAATTCAGACATTTTAAATTGAAAGAAATAGGTATCTACGCTTTAGCTTTAAATGAAATAAGAAATTTTTTGTTTTTGAAAAACGAGAAAGATTGCAAGAATCTTATAAAAAAGTTGTGAGAAAAGAGTCTATATTATTCATTTCCTACTTTAAATTAATGTCAGTTAAATTGCAAATAAGTATTTGCCACAGAGAGTGCAAAAATATTCTATAGAACACCAAAACAAACGCACAAAACCACTACAAAAAAAACAGTAGTCACAGTGTGATGAAATTCTTGAAGTTCTGTTGTGAACGACTTTCCATAACCATCATAAATAAAATTGAAAGATCTGACCTTAAATTTTCCTTGAAATCCAGGCGACAGAGTGCCGTAATCTTCAATTTCCAATTTGCAAGGCCACGGGTTTGGGCCACAAAACTAGAGCCGCGAGGCCACTGGGGCGTAGCGAGAGGACTGCGATCCTACAGTCTGCTACAATGGGGCGGAGACTGGATTACTGAGAGTTCACTTTTTTGTTTTCACGAGTCAATGCACACAAGTACTATTTTCAACGCCAAAAGTATCCAAATTGTTTCTTAAAACCACTTTGTCTATCAATTTTAATCGGTTGCAAGTCAACAATCCGTGAGAAGAGACCAGAAATTATGTGGGGATTTTAGAGTTCCTTCGATAGAGTGGACCAGATAGACCTTGGGTGGTTTTAATAAAACTCGAACGCGGTTAGTTTTTAATCGGTTTAATTCCAACTCAAAACACTTTTACTACCGCAAACAAACGGATTAGCAAAGACGAACAGTACAATGTTACGATTAAATTAATTATAGCAATTAACAGTGTTGGTTTTTTAACCACGTGGAGGAAGTGCATTGACACGGAACTTGTTGCGCTGAGTGTATGAAACTGGATGATACTGGAATCGAATTTTCCAGACCGAAACTGTCATTAAAAATGTTGGGTTATATTCATTTGTCTATTTTTTGAGGGGCGTTCGATAACATGGGGCGTTCGATAACATAGGGCGTGTTGTGGACCGTCGATGACGTGCAACAAATGTCTGAGTTATTAAAGAAATCTAAACAATATTGAAATATCCAGTGGCGGGGGTTTGGTCATTTTCGATTTTCGTGTAGGAGTTGCAATACGATAAAACTTCCAAAAAGTTCCGCACGCAGCTGGGTATTTTATGAATGAAATCAGCCATTTTTTTTTACAACTGCATTTCCCTTACCGTTGCCCCGTAGACACAGAGTCGCTGGGCAGACATTATGTTACTTACTGTCTCTTAGGGATTAAAAAATCGTAGCTCCGCTATCTTTGGTTTTTTTTCCAATCAAATTTTGGTATGTTAAAAGTAAAAGGCTTCTGGATATATAAAAAAAATCTTCATTCTCCAAATTTTCCCAGATTTCTAGGAAAAAAATCAAAAATCAGGCCATAGTCTGTATTGTAAAAATATCAGTTAGTATCTTGGAATTAAAAAATTCGTAACCCCGCTGTTATCTTTGGTTTTTTTCTCGATCAAATTTAAGTATATTAAAGCTAAAATGCTTACGAATATTTAAAAAAGAATCATTTTCCAAAGTTTCCCGAATTTCCAGAAAAAAAAAATTAAAAATTCAGGCCATAGACTGTAAGGCAAAAATATCACTCAGTCTGTCTTTTAGATTACAAATATTGTAACTTCGCTATCCTTACTTTTTTCCAATCAAATTTTAGTATGTTAAAGCTCAAAAGCATCTGGATATTTCAAAAAATTCTTCATTTTCCAAAGTTTCCCAGATTTCCTGGACATTGACACACCCAGGGGGGAACCATCGGGCTAGGGCCGCCTCCCAGGCCACCCCTCCAAAACTGTATTCTTACGTATAAAAAAATGTGGCAAATTTTGGACGTGGCACCCTGACACTTCAATTTTTTTTTTTTAGATTTTCAGTCACAAGCCACAACCTATGTAGGGCCCCCCCAAACATATTTTCTGGGTGCGCCACTGTCCTAGTCCTAGCCCCCAATCTATTATGAAACCTGTCAGATATTTGCCTCTGTCAATCCCAAAGAAGTGCCTCGGTACCTACTAAAGTCACTAACTTATAGGGTAAGAAGATTTTCAATATTTGCCCTCTATTGAGAGGATGATTAACTCCGTAAAAACTTTCGCACACTTACTTAAGAAATTACCTACTTCTAAGTACCAGCATGCTGTAGGGTGGAGCAAGTCTATTGGAATAAGTGGCATGGCCGTAGCTAGGGGTTGGTTATGGAGGGGGTTGGGCAAGAAAAAATCGGATTAATTTAGAAACAACAATATTCTTATTTAAAAAAGTGCATATTTTGCGTTTTTTTAGACAGAATCTATTCATGACATCCTTGGAACTAACATTAATTTCTCTGTGAACTGACATTAGAGCTAAACCCTTCAAACGTTCGTTCACCATTGAATTTCTTAGCCAAGATTTTAGGCGTCTTAGTCGGAAAAGATCACTCTGGTGTTGCCGTAGAGCAAGGTAAAGTTGCTGATATTTGTAAAAGATCTTTAATAATTGGAATAAAGGACTTATCTGTATTTAAAACGCGTCAATGGCCGTTCTTCGCAAATGGTTACCACTACCAATATCATTATTAGTCCATTTCTTTTGTCACCTAATTCAGCCGAGAATAGAGAAAAAAAATTGTCATATAATTCACAAATAGGTTCAAATATTTCAAGTTTAGCGGCCGAACATTTTTCTGTAGTATGAGTACCTAACTGTAAGTATGAAATGGATTTGTGATTTTGTGATGCTCAGAGAAACGATCTTTTAACTCAACTATAATATGATCTATGAACAGAATGTAGAGATTTAAGGTAGTACTGCTCAGGATTTTCAGCCGGAACATTTCCATGCTGAGTTTGGCGACCTAAAGTCCTGGGATTTTCAATCTCGCCACCCATACCTGAAACAAGCTTTCCTGCTTCATTAAAAATATTTTTAAAAGATTGATAGCATGACGCATGTGTCCCTAGATAACTGGAGTGATTGCAGTATTAAATCAACATGTTCGACACAGGCTACCAGATCTACATTCTCTTTTTGCAGATTTTTGGTTTTTTCGATAGGCACATTGATTATTTTATACTTTGATTTTAGTAGTACCTATATTTTATTGGCGATAATTTTTTAAGAAAAGAATAAGCATGGGGGGGGGGGGGGGTTTGAACTCCCTAAACCCCCCCTTATATACGGCCCTGATAAGTGGAATGTATCAAATTTCGTATTTATGAAAAAGGGTTTCTCAATATGGATACATATTTTTGGCTTTTGGTCAATATTTGCTTTTTCTCTAGCTATTATTAACTAGCAAACTGAAACTTCACTTCGACAAGTTACAAGATAATTTTTCCTGGGTATCAATCCTTGAAATTACTTGGGCGGAACATCTCAAATTACATTGCGGCACATTGGCGCTATCAGTTAACGTATATCATAGCGTATATCCTGATGAATTTTTTCTTTGCATTTTACTACTCAAGGAAAAGTAGGGTGAGGCCCACACATACCCGATACGCTAAAGTATAAATATACCTACCATTGTAAAAATTTATATTATCTATGTGAAAAGCTATGTTCGAATATGTAGATATTGAAAAAATTAACAAAAAAATAAAAATAATTAGATTTTTTGTTATTTGCCAAATAATAGTAGTTATATGGCTATGACGAAGTAACATCTCCTTTTTTCTTGCCATCGTTAACGGAATTCTTATTAAAAGTAAATAAATAAAATCGCTGTGGAAGTGTAATAAATAAGTACCTAATACGTCAACCTCCTCTAGCTTAGAGGACTCTTGTAATAATATAAAGAATAAGAGTCTTGATGGAATTTTTTTGCCATAGAAAACCTCCAAGTTCTCATAAATATTATATTTTTCTTAAGCAATTGGGAAGAAATACGAAGAAAGATTTTAATCCTGTAACACAGTCGACCAGATAGAAACATTACCAAAGAAAATAAAGACCGACCATAGAAATCCTAATAAAAATATTTAAAGGGTATGTGCGATATATTGCAAAACGCCATGTCACATTGTTTGGGATGGATTTATTTGTTTTGAAATCATCGAAGGACAACTCTATCCCGGTCTACATAAAAGCTGTTGAATAAGATCTGGACATCACAATACGATTTTGTATCTAGTCCCAATAGGTAGTCGTATCAAATAAAGTTAAAATGAAATATTTGGTAATTCACAAAATTTAAATAACCCAAAATTATATTTTTTATGTTTTAAATTTTATTCTAGGTTGTTGTTGCTTTTTTGTCCACCGTATGCCTCGCCCATGCTAAGCCTAGTATACTAGGCTCATTATCTTTAGTAGGACCTGCAGCACCTGGAGCTCTCCTTCAAGGTCCTTCTTCACTTACAAACCTCATTGGACCTGATGGAAGCGTTATTACAGCTTCAGCTATCGGTAAGTCGATCGATGACATTGTTTTCTGAATTTTATATTTTGTTTTTGTAGGTGGAACTGTAGCTGCAGCACCCAAATTAGGCGGAGTCGTATCAGCAGCTGTAGCACCTGGACTTGTAGCTGCTCCAGTTCTGGCCGCACCCACGATTGGCTCTCCATGGGGTGTTCCTATCATTGCTGGACCTGGAAAGGGTTGGGGTGGTAACTATACTTTTTTTGCTATCTAACAATATTAAAAAAAACAAAATCCTTCAGTAAAATAATGAGCACTCAAACTTCAATTTTTTTTTTCTTCTAGGTATTTGGCTCTAAGATCAATCAAAGTGTGAAACTCTATGACTGATGACGATGATTGATATACAATAACTCAAGTCCCCAACCTGGTCTCAACTATTAAACTATTTTTAATAAGTAATTATTAAGTTAGGTAACATAATTTATAAAGTTGAGCATAAATAAGAAAAATTATATATTTCTAATCTCATCCGCTCACTAAGATACATACACCCATTTACCAGCTCGACTATTTATCTATAAGAAAGAATTGCGAAAAAATGTGTACTGAAAAATATAGATAAATAAATATGTACCTACCTACTAAGTCCATAAATAATTGCAATCAAGGTTAAGTTATATTAAACTTGAACTAGTATTTTATTGCAAAATGTCAAGAAAATATTTCAACTATTGTGTAAGGATTGCAAAAATTTTAAATGAAACCGTAACTTGTTTCAGTGACTTCGCCTTCTTCAGACGGAATTCCTTCCGCAGAAGGCACTGTGTGCTGAAACATGTTACGGTTTAATTTAAACAAAAACTATTCTATCCTATTCCCCAAAGGGACGGTTGAATAATTTCACCTACCTAAAAGTTTTATTTGTAGCCTTGAAAATACCGACGTTTTTCTCAATTGTTTAACAATACTTATTTGGTAGGCATTCGTGAAGGGATTAATGAAAAGCTTAAGTATTTAGTATTCTGAGAAACTGATTCATAGCAAAAGAAAAAAACAGTGAAAATAATTTATGCATTTCAAAAATAATTATCAAAAGTTGAACCCTGAGGATCGCCGTCAGAAAAGTTTGCAAGATCAAGAAGGTATGATTGAGAGAAAAATACGAAGAAGAAGATGGATATTGGAAAGAACAGAAAAAAGAAATCAGGCAAACAGGCAACTATAAGAAAAGCAGGGAGAACGAAAAGGCAGAACCGGTATCACCGACCGGTTCTAGTACCTTCGTCAAGAAGTTGAAGGGCGAAATAGAAACGGTACAAGAAAAAATCAAATGCGAAATGTGAATGGTCTGCGGAAAATTCGAGAAGAAATATAGAAAGCTACTCGCCCAGATGGAGAAAAATTCTGGCATTGCATTGTTCAATAGATGAAAATTGACAAGGATAATTTAAATGTTAGAGTTGATATTGGCTATGTTCATCAGAACCAAAACGTATTGTAAACAGTTTACAAATACCAACAGAATATGTTGGGTAAACTCTTGGTTCTGCTGAACGATTCAACTTTTCAATGATAGAACGTCACCTTCTGAATGACAGGTCACCACACAAAACACAGTGTTGGAAATTATAAACACTCTGAAATTATGCTTGCAAAAATGGCGACCGTTTGAAAAACACGTTTGGTTTTAACACAAATTTAACGTAGCGTTCAGCAGAACAATCGCAAACCGTTTACCAACGTTTGTATCTGGTGAACGCGGCCAATGTGATCATTAGCTGGAGTGATGAAGTGAGGAATCTTTACAGAGAAGGAATGAATGGATCCCCCATCACACGCAGCATAACTGCCACGAGATATGATCCAGACAACCCCATAGTTCACGGACCCCCATACAAGAATTAACCTCTCTATTTTGAACCCCCATGAACACCTTTCACATCCCGAAACCTGCTAACCACACTCCAAGTAAATTAAAAACCCATCCAATGCTAACATCCAAACGTCGAGACAAAATTAGACAAGAAAATTTGGCGATAATGCTAACAGCCAAGTCTAAAGCAGGAGACTGGCAATCCTGACAATGGTCCAATTTCTATTATCAGTTCTTCGGAAAATTCTAACTAGCCAGAGATTAAGTGTGTATTTAACTCCTCTATCGCTGGCTATGAGGAAATGAACTTGTCTAATTAATCATCAATCACCCCAATTTCGACCAACAAATCTAGGCACAAATAGCCCAATATAGCTAGAAACATGCGGCATATCCCAATCCCGGTAAATTTTTGCACCCAATCCCTCCAACCCTCATTCTCTGACATCCCATACAATCCACATCACCTGCACCAAAACCATTACCTACAGGCTCATCAGGCCTCAGGACTGGTCAGGGTGCAGGGTTGTAGAACCCCTTTAATTCATACCCGCGCACACATCCTCAAAGCTCACTTAAAATGTTAGTGAGACCGCGTCCAGTGGACCCAATCGCCCAAAGGGCAACACTTTTTTGCTTTTACATAAAATTAATGTAAAGCGGGGTTTTTCGTTGCTTTTCCCCGCAGAAGAGCGCTGGCAATCTGCAACCCAAATCTGAGCAAACCACCCACACCCTCAGAGCAGGTCACTGTAGTGACCTAGTCCGCGCCATTCGTGGTATTCACCATCGACTTTAAGGTCATAAAACCGACGCTAAAGGGCAACCCGGAAGCGTCGAAGAAAGTTTCGAACAAAAATAGGTACAGGCAAATTACAGGGGCTTGTATGGTCAACAACATCGACCGGGGCTAAAATCGCGCACTGTACGCTAGGCGTGCAAGTATCAGCGTGCTGCGTCACGCTGAAGTCTAGCTTTAAGTAGTCTCTGTCCTAGGTTTAGTACCTAATTGTTGTAAATATTTTTAGTTATGAAGGGCCCCAGCCCGGTAGCTATAAGTGTTTATTGTACAAATTGAATGTTTGAATAAAAAGATTTTGAGTTTGAGTAACAGAATATAATAGATACCGAATACAAAAAATACAGGAGCTGTTGTGTCAGATATGTTAAATGCCTGCCTCGCAGGGAGCATGTTAGCCAGCATATTGTTGAAGTATATAAAACAAAAATGAATCAGAGATGTCTTATGCGCATTGTGTAACTTGTAACTTAGTGTATAAGATTTTAAGTGATACTAGAATATCAGTATATTTAAAGTGTGTTTTTTTTTTAAAGATAATTCCCCAAGTCAAAAATTTAGTAACTATGTTGGCAACACAAGTCTTTTCTACATAAAAAATTTGAAAGCTTGACAATTTTACATTGTATTGCCAACATAATGTCATTTTGACTTTTATCTTTAAAAAAAAAACAGACTTTATTTAATATGATTCAGCATCGTAGTAATATTGATGAGCTAAATACCTACACGCAATCGAGATCTCATAAATATTATTCCAAAGCATAATACACAGTGTTGTGATCCTTCAGTGTTTTGCCTTGGTTAAAACTACTTTTGTTTTTGGTTTGAAACTTGTAGCTTTATTAGGTGATGGAATATAGAATGAAATTGAACTACAGCAAAAGTAAGACTTATTTTAGAGAGAGTTTTAACAAAATGTGTTACTACGACTGAAGCTGTCTTAAGACTGTCTTCTTGCTTCACTAGATCTCTTACAAATCGACCTTTACATCCCTTCTAAAACGTTTCTAAAACCTACATAATTACAACTGGAAAACCCTAAATAAATATTGGCAATAAATGACAGTCTGTTCGCCCAAAGAATGACCATTAAGGATATTTGGGAATTTTGGGGTTTATGGTGGACAAATGTTTAATTTATTTACATACAATATCTTTGGGTTCTTTAACAGAAAGTCTGGGTCATATAATAGTATTGCTTTCGGCGACGGCGAGACATTATTTGGGAAAGTATTCGAGGGTCGTAAAAGGTACAATGTCATGATATTATGGAGGAATATGACAACAGTTTTTCAAAGCAGCTTTTCCATACTGGGCCGCAAAGGCGTATAACATATGCTACCTGCTGAGATTTCCCAAGCTCAAAGCAATTTGAGCTTCAAGATAAAACTTAAAGAATATGCCTGTAATAATAATAACTTGTCGCTATAGAATAGCTTTACTGCCATGGCTGTGTGTAGATTCCAGGTTGTAAGGTTTTAGGTTAGGTGAGTGTAAGCTAACAAACGCGTCTAGCGTCCTTGTACTCTTTGTGATTTATGCAATAAATGATTATTTATTTATTTAAATGTGAGCTAAGCATACCGAACGAGAATGACATTACCACGGACGACTTCGAGAAAGAGCAAAATGTTGAAGAAAAAATTGGCAATTTTGCGTGACTGGATATCAAACCTAGATGGCAAGAAATTTACAGTTTCGGTCCAACTGTAAAGAAATACTGGCTCCAAGAGTAGTCGTTGAACATACAGTGTATACCATTTAAAACGAAACAGGCTAAATATTTGATATCACTTTTATTTTTTTTTTAAATCGCTCCTACACGTAATTTGATTGTGCGAGTGTTTGAAGCATTTTCAGCACTAACTTGACCCTCTAGGGGCGGTGGGACCAACCCTTACCATTCAAAATGGAACAGGGGTCGAGTGATACCTGTTTTAAAAGGGCGTTCAATTTTCTTTCAAATGACATCAAATGAAAGAGAACTGAACGCTCTTTTAAAAAAGGTATCACTCGACCCCTTGTTCCATTTGAAATAGTAAGGGTTAGTCCCACTCCGCCTAGAGGGTTAAAGTAGAAGTACTAAAAATGGTTGCAGAAAACTTCCCCCTTCAAAAATCAAATCACGTGTATGAGCGATTTTTTTGAGAATAAACGTGGCATCAACTATTTAGCCTGTTTCGTTTTAAATGGTACACCCTGTATTTTAAATTTAAAGATGCTATTATGTGTAAAATTATTTTAACTTTTACGTTTTTGGGGGATTCACGTTTCCAAGGATCTTCCCTTTGGGATTTGCTGAGCGGAGCGAGCAATCCAAGAAAAAAATCATAATTTAAATTTCAACAAAAGGCTCTCTTTTGTTACAGCGCTCTTTTGTTACACCGCTCTTTTGTTATAGCGCTCTTTTGCTACAGCACTCTTTTGTTACAGCGCTCTTTTGTGAAGCGCTTTTTTGTTACAGCGCTTTTTTGTTACAGCGCTCTTTTGTGCAGCGCTCTTTTGTTTCAACGCTCTTTTGTTACAGCGCTCTTTTGTGACAGCGCTCTTCGAAGTCAGTGTGACGTCACAGCCTAGGCGTTTGTCAATTCTGCCCTAGCTCGGTTCATCGTAGCAACATGCCGATTAAATCTTTATTCTTAGATTTTTTTGCACTAAAACTTTCATTTCTAGGTTAGGTACACCCCCTTAATAATTATTAAGCTTCTGAATAGGGAGAAAATTTAAAAAAAATAAAAAATCAGAATTAGGTATCTACTGCTTTAAGATTTAGTTTACTTCTTAAGTTGGTTTTTTCAGGAGCATATTTCGAAAACCCTATTCACAACTGTAAGTTGTACCGAACAGCAACATTTTCTTAACAGCAGAATTGGCTAATTCTGGATATACACTTTTCAGCTGGGCCGAAAACTACAATAAAGTAGCCGAGTTAAAAGTAGTTTCAAGATTTCCATCGGTGA